AGGAGGAGAGCTGGCCATAGGGAATGGTGGGGAGCCCTAAGACACTAAAACTTGGTGAGAGACCAGGCATTTTGGGCGAGCAATAATACCAAGGTAGGCTGGATTACACACCTCTTAAATGATTCCTCTAGACTCACAGAATAAAAAAGTATAAGGCTAAATGTGAATTACTGGTCAAAGGACCAAAATATACAGGACGAATTGACTTTACATGCGTTTCTAAGAAATTTTTGATATTTGCTGCTTCTAAGCTCTAAACAAAGCTATTCCCAGTTGTAGCAATGTAGAATACATCTAATTTTGATATTGCATGTTTATTTGACTATAATAAATGTAAATCCAACTCAAATCAAATACATTTGCCCGTAATCATATGGACGATGTTGATGATGATGATGGTAATAATAGCAGACCCTATTTTGATTAGGCACTCATTCTTACAGAAACTCTATGAAGTAGGGATTATTATCCCATTTTAGACTGGAGGAAATTGAAGCTGAGAGAGATTAAATCAGTTATCGAAGATCTCACTGCTTTTAGGTGGCAGAGCTGCGATGTTTGGATTTGAGGTTCCTGGCCTTTCCACTAAATATAGAACAAAGATTCAAACCAACCTCCATCTCAAAGAGGCTATAACCAGTTAGAAGCAGCCATACACATTAGAGAGAGAGATAGTGTTTAACCAGAAGGTAAACAGCTATATGAGGACCGGGCCTTGTTATCTTATCTTTTTCTGAGCATCTCCAGTAGACATAACTCTAATGTAGACATAACTCTAATGCAGACACACAGTGCTTTACAATGTGATCAGCTATTATTGTTATTATTACTAATTGGCACTTAGAAAAACAAGTTAAGGATGCTCATAAAAATGAGTCTCCAAATTAAATTATTAGCTTTGATTCTGAGGAGAGACCAATCACGAGTTGCTATGAGACTGTAATGAAGCCTAGCATTAACAGCTGTTCAAAGTAACAGGCGGTGCTGGTAGTGATCGCGTCAGTGGTAAGACTTTGGGCAAAGCGTTGGTGTCTCTGAGCTTGAAGGCAGAGAAATCCATTAGGCTGGATCTGGAGGGTAAAAGTGGTGCTGACAGTGGATGCCTCCTGCTTACATCTGTCTAGACTTCTTGGCTTTCACCTCTAAAGTGTAAATCTGCCCATCATTTACTTTTAAGACAAAAGAATGGAGTGGGCAACTCTTCATTATTTGGAAACTCACCCTGTGTCTTCTGTTAGGTCTCTGGCTCTCAGTCTGCATAGCTCCTTCCCTTCAAGGTCTGCTGCCTTTCCAGGACATCCTGGTTCTGCTGTTGTCTACGTGGCAGCAAAGCAGAGTGGCCAAAACTTGGCCCAGGAGCAGGATATATCTGAGTCCTTCTTCCTAAACTGTAAAACCCAGGATAATTTTCTTTATCTTGCTAAGATTTCATAGTGATTAAATGGAAGAACAAATATACAATGTCCATGATATATTAGAAACTCAATACATGCTAGCTATTATTGTTATCAGCAACCTATGCCTTTCTCGTGTACTGTGTTATATTGGGTATCCATCTTGACTCTGGTGCCTCAGGCCTGGACAGCCATCCCTTCCTTGAGATCCTCTCCTTTTTCCTCATCAGCTCTCCATATTATTTTCCCTCTTCTCTTTTCTTGTTGTTCTTTTCAGTACCCTTCGTAAGTATGACTGTTCTATTTAAGAAGTCTTTTTTCTTTTTCTCATAAGATGTATGCCCAAAAGAAGTCTTCCTAGTATCTTTTAACCAATTGGTTCTAAAAGAAGCCAAGGTCCATAGGAGGAAATTTAGTCTATACAAACTCAGAACAAATAAATGAGAGAAGGCTGGCAGCATTACACAGTCTTCTGCTTAATGGTGTTTACTGTGAAAGGCCCTTGGATGCCATCAGGAGGAGGGCTTTGCCCTCTTTACAAATTAGTGAATAAGTAAATGAACCAGGAGTGGGGGTTTCCAGTTCAAGTTTGTGCAGATAAATTTCTGTATGCCTCACACTTCTGCTGGCTTGATGTTTACTCAGAAATCAGAGTGAAATAGACCATGAAGGGAATCTACAAAAATCACAAAGTCCTGCGACAGACTTGAGATTGAGACTAATTATTCACAACCCTTTTTCTTCAGGCTTTACCAGACTCCAGTAGAAATGAGAACTCTTGACGGCCATAGCTAAAATGTCATAAAGCTTCTAATGCAGAATTTCAAGTCTTCTGTGAAGTGTCACCTAAGCATTCCTGGGTGTCAGATGGGGCATCTCACACATAGCCATGAAAATGTACACTTCTGCTCAGGAATATCAATGCTTCATGAGGATCACTTTGCTGATCAGTAGATGGGAGCATCTACTGACTCAAGTCACTGACAAATTCCATTATTTTTGTCACAGAAGCATTCAGAGTCTTTCTCCATTCAGTGTTGCAGGATATGTGCAGTGACTAATGCCTAGACCATTTCTAGAGCTCAGAGGGTACAAGGGCAGCCTCTTTTCACCATCTTGTTAACAAGCATTATACCAGGAGCTAGAGAAACAAGATGAACATGACATTGACCCTGCCCTAGTGGAGTTCATAGCCCAACAAAAGAGCAGGCAATCTTATTGATTACTTAGGAAAGGAAGTCATGGGAACATGGCATTAATTTAAGAACCCAAATCAGATATATTAGTCGAGGAAGGAGATTTCAAGAGTAATAAATACTTGCATATGTAATTTGAAGAATAAGGTAAGTTAGCCAGATAACAAAAGATGGGATGGAAAATAATTTGAAACAAAGATGATTTAGTTTGCGACATTATGGCTAATTCCCATGGTAGGTATTATTTAAAAGACTAAGGTGGCTTGATGTTTACTCAGAAACCAGAGAGAAATAGACCATGAGGGAATCTACAAAAATCACAAAGTCCTGCGACAGACTTGAGATTTAGAATAATTATTCACAGGCTTTTCTTCAGGATCAGGCAAGGAGGGAGGTATTAGCGTCTCTAAATTTCCTTCAGGGGACAACATTTAAATGTATACTATTGGCTAATACTGTTGCTAACTTGAGCTAAGCACTTACTAAAAGGAAGGATGACATCTTCAATTCTTAAAACAATAAAATCCAAAGATGAAAAAATGTATTGTTGTAAGCCATGGCATACTTGTTCACCAAGACTGGAATTGCCAGTAGACCCTGGGAGTTTTGTTTTCTGAGAAAACCCTGGTCTGGCCCCATGCTAGCTTGGGCTTCACATTTGTACACAGTCATCAAAGTCTTGTACTTTCCCTTGTCATAATTTTTTTTAATGTGTGTGTGATTTAATTAATCACTGTTTCTCCCACTAGACTTAAATTCCAGGAAAACAGACTTCATTTATGTTTTCTCTCTGCTGTATCATTAGTTTCTGGCACAATTTTGATACAGAATAGATGCTCGATAAAGATGTGTTGATATGGCTGCTCCTGTCATTAAGTCTGTGACTTTGGCTACTAGAAGTTTGTTTCTGTTGAACAATAAGGAACTGTGCTGTCGGAAGGAAAAAGCTGAGGCTATTTGGGCCAGCCAGGCTGTCCCGGTTAAAGAAGAGACTGAGGATCACCAGAGAATTTAGAGCATTTTGAAAGCTAAATGCTGAGTAAGAGGCTGACACTTAGAACAGGAGCTTTCAATTGATGTCTGGGATGGGAAGAGTAAGAGTGGTTCATTCTAAAGGACATGAGCTAGGGCATGCATGCAGGACCAGGCATATAATTTGCAGTCAGCTACAAATGAAAATGTGGTCTCCTGTGAAATATTTTTACAGAATTTCAAGATGGCAGGATTAGTGCAGGGCCCTGTGTGACTGCACAGGTTACACATCCATGAAGCTGCTCCTGCAAAGATCTGCAGCTAATTTAAAAATCTGAACAGAAGTTTGCAATCTTCTTTTAAAAAATTGAGAGTGTTTCGTATTAAGCGGGGGAAAGAGGCTTTTAAATATCTAGGTGTATTTCCTTTCCCTGCACACTAAGGTTATCTTTAAAATAAACTGGACCCTTCTAATATCTTTATTCAATGGGGCTATCCCTATGTTTCCAAAAGATTTAGTAAGACAGGCTGGTTTGCCTCTCTGCGAACGGCCCTCAACTATTGCTATACTGCAACACCCAATTGCTCTTCAGTCAAGACCTGGCCTAAATTTGAAGTTCCACAGTGGGAAATGCATGGATTTTGAAGCCAAAATAAGTTCAAATTCCAGTTTCACCAGTTACAGTTTAGTGATTTAAAGCAAATTACTCAGCCTTCTTACAACCTCAGTTTCCTCATCTACAAAATGGAAGTGATAATCCCTAGACCCAGAGTAGCTGGAAGGATTAAGTAAGGTAAAAAGAAAGGATTTAGTACAATAAGTGCACGACCAAGGAGGAACAGGTGTCCATATACACACCGCCTTATCTCTCTGCTTTAGATCAAAGCTGAATGGAGGAAGCGCAGTTCCCTTGACTCGGGGGACCCACCCCCCCACTGGGATCGCTGCTCTCAGTCACTGAACCCTATAAATAGCTTAGCTAAGTCACTGTCTCAGTCACCATTCCTTGGGGTGAGGAATGAGGGAGTCGTTGCAAGTGGTCCTTTCTGGCCGTATCATTCACAGATTTTCCATTCTTTGCGGTTTGGGTCTGAATTTTCAGCATCCTCCCTAAAGATTCACCCTCACCCGGTGCCGGCGCGCACCCCGCTTTCCACCCTCACCTCCTCTCCAGGGCGCTGCCCCCCGCCTGCCCTCACTACTCCAGGCGTTGGCCGCACGGCCCCGCCCCGGAGCTGCTCCCGCCTCCTCCCTCCTCCCGTGGGCGAGCTGAAGCCCCGCTCGCCCCTCTCGCCTGCGGCGGCCGAGTGGCAGCCACCACTGCTAGGAGGTCGCCGGCGAGGTGGCCGCGGGCGCGGCGGGGCGGGGCAGGGCGCGCTGTCCTCCACGCCCGCGGAAGTGCCGGGGAGGTGGGCAGGGCCGGGCGGAGAGGGGCGAGGCTGGAGGAGGGCACGGCGGCGCCTGGGCAAGGATGGGAGTCCCCGGGACCCGGAGCTGAGCAGCCGGGTGCGCGCGGCGGGCAGGGCGCGCAGGGGTACGGCAGCCTTGCTGTTCTCCGGGAGCCCAACACCGTTCCCGCGCGGCCAGGATGATCCCTCCGAGCGGCCCCCGCCAGGACGGCGTGGACGGGCTGCCCCAGGAGGCAGCGAGCGCCGAGCAGCCGCCCTCTCCTGCATCCACCGGCAGCCAGGAATCCAAGGTACCGAAGCGCACTTGCCCCAGGAGAACAGACTCACTCCCCTCTCCTCTCGGTCCAGCACGGGGCGCGGGGGGCTGACGCTTGCTCCTTGGGCCGGGGCTGGACGGCGCCTCCCCTGGGACTGGAACGTCCGGTGGGACCCACTGCCCACGATGCTGGACCGCGTCCCCGTGGACCCAGCCTTCTCGCCCACACATTCACACACGCATTTCGTGGTGGCTCCGGGTCCAGAGATCGATTTCCTGCGGGGTGGCGGCTTGGTTGTTTTGTGCTTTGAACCTGCTTGTGTCCAAAGCACGTGTAGGTAATTGTTGGGTTCTGAAGGCTGAGGGATGGAGACAGCCGAGGGATACTCTTGCAGAAAAGCTCGAGTCCTGGGCCAGAAAAGCAAGTATGTATCCCAAGGGTCTCAGAGTCCTTTTGCTCAACAGGGATCAACCCTACCTTCAGATGCCACTCTCTAAAAGAGAAAAAAGAAAAAGGACAAGAAAAGGGAAATACTGCGTTTGTCTAAAGTTGATGTTCCTCTTGTGGAAGTTAATACTCTAAGAACTTACACTTGCTTTTATGAAAGTTACACTAACACATACACACACAACCAGGCCCACAGCACTTCTCCTGTCACTGTTACACTTCCTCTGAAATTCTCGTGGGTGCCAGGCACATGTTTGAAAATCTTGGAAGAGGATCGAGTAAAATGTGGCTGCTCACAGTGCAATGCCAAATGGCAACTCAGCTGGTGGTGCAAAGCCTAAGATGGAGTTTGTAGTTATGTGGATTCTTTTAAGTGTAGAGCTCCTGGCTCTTTATTCTGATTTCATTGTGAGATCCCCAAGCATTTGGGGAAATGTGAGGCAGTCCCTGTATACCAGCAAAGGAAAGGGGATGCCAGTTGGTAGGATAGGAACAGGTCAGATGGGGCAAGGAAAAGCGCCATCCTGTCTCCCTTCACATGCATCCCTGGAAGCCATTGATACAATCAGGAGGATGAAAATCGCAGCCTGAGTGGCTCTGGGGATTTGGGGTGATACTGGGCACTGTACATTTCTCAGCCCCCTGAAATTAACCATCAATGATGGTAAGCTAAGCCTGAACACTTTGCATCTTATTTACTTTTTTTTTTTTTCTGTTAATTACTGGCTGCCAGACCTGGGGTATGTGTGTCAACTTTTCTGAAACTTAATTGGAAATGAGGGAAAAAGCCTCCACCTTCCAGAATCATTGTGAGGGGTACATGAGATGCCCTAATGTCCCCTTGGTATAGTTTAAGGACTCAGTCATGTTTATCCTTTTCCTTCCTGAGATAAAGAGCTGGAATCCATCTCATCTCAAATGACCCACTCCAAAACAATCTCATAACCCATATACATGACTCCAGTCACAAAGGTTCTGGGTGTCATTGCCTGCCGTTGAACATCAGTCCCCAAAGTGATATAGGTTAGTGGCCATTTTATAGGAAGGCTAGAATTCTGTAAAAGAAGGTAGCTAAACTCAAGAGTGAAACTGGTATTAAACTTTTTGAATTGGCCTGTTGCTCTGCCGTAGGTGCGTCCTGGAAAGGGCTTAGCATTTGGGCAAACAGCGGCATGATTCAAATGTATTGTATGGATTTGCTATTTATAGATGTCCTAATGGAAATTATTTGGCAGAGCAAAAACCACATATGTAATGCCCGTAATTATCCGCCAATTTATCTGGCTTATGGCTTTGTACAAATTAGTTTTTCTCAAAGTGGTCTCTATACCGGATGTGTATTTCTACATTCCTAAGTTTGATGTCATGGCTTCGGTGTGCTTAATTAGTGGACATAAACTCTGGGGGCCCCTGAACACTAGGAAATTGAATGCAATATTGTATGCCTAAATGTGACTTTTTCTTGGCATGGCATTTGTGATATTCCCAAGGGGATCCATGCCCCTTAAAAAAAGCTAAACTGCTCGTAGGGAGGAACATGTGGTAAGGTAAGACAAGGATGACATGAAACCAGAGGACAGGAAGGCTCAATTCATTCCATGCTAGGAAGGCCACGTGTTAAAGCTCACTGGCGTTTACAAGGATCTTCCACCCTGAGCACGAGCGCTTGGTGAGGAAAACGTGAACAAGACAATAATAAGCATTCCACCTTACTCTTCCATGAAGTGGTCTTGTTTGTAAAATATCTTGTGAGACAAACATGGTTCAGGCTTCTTTGGGCATTTAACTCTCTCGGGGAAGACTTTTAAAATTACTTTTTTTAAAGACTTAGGTTTTTCGTCTTATTATAAGAGTAACAAATATTCTTTGTAGATATTTGAACAGTCCAGATATAAATTATAAAAAGAAGAAAAATCAGCTGTTGGTTTATCATCCAGAAGCATCTATTAATAGCATTTTGATCTATATCTTACATCTTTTTAAATCTATTTTTTATTTACATAGTTGAGAGAACAATAGTGAGCATCTACTGAATGTTTACGGTGAGTCAGGTATAACCTTAATCTTCACAATAGAAGATTCTGTTAATATTGCTGTTTTATGGATAGGGAAGTGGAAGCTGAGAAAGGTTAGATCATTTTCATTGTGGAAATTTATCTTATTATGGAGAATTTCAAAATACACAAAAGTAGAGAAAACAGTATAGAGAACTGTCATGGACCTAATCATGTGGTTTCACGATCAATTCATGGACAGTGTGTTTTATGTATTACCACCCCCACCACCACCACCACCCTACATGTACTAGATCATTTTAAAGCAAATTCCAGACAAGAACTCATTTCACCCATAAATATGCTATCAGGTTGCATCTCTCAAAGATAAGGGTTATTTTCATAAGCATGACTATAATCCCATTAGCACATATTACAGGTGTTTTAAACTAAGGGCCAATATACTCTTGGAAAGCCCATGAATAGTCTTTGGAAAATCTGTGAACAACCTGAACCAGCATTCAAAGTTGTCCATGTACATGCATATGTGCATCATCTAGGGAAAGGATTCTTAGCTTGCAGCAGATTCACAGTGTCTACAGCTTCAAAGGGTATTTTATTTTAATGTCCTTTTTCTCTTTCTTGAGGAAATTGAGGCCCAAAGAGGGGCAGTGACTTGCTTGAAATCACACAGATAGTTACTGGCAAAACCCATGTCTATGAACCCCACCTTGGACTTTGGTAACAGTCCCTTGGAACAAACTCTTGTATGTAAGCACAAGTCATAATATAGTTTAATTGTGTTTTTTCTTTTTTCTTTTTTTTTTTTTTTTTTGAGACGGAGTTTCGCTCTTGTTACCCAGGCTGGAGTGCAATGGCGCGATCTCGGCTCACGGCAACTTCCGCCTCCTGGGTTCAGGCAGTTCTCCTGCCTCAGCCTCCTGAGTAGCTGAGATTACAGGCACGCGCCACCATACCCAGCTAATTTTTTGTATTTTTAGTAGAGACGGGGTTTCACCATGTTGACCAGGATGGTCTCGATCTCTTGACCTCGTGATCCACCCGCCTCGGCCTCCCAAAGTGCTGGGATTACAGGCGTGAGCCACTGCGCCCAGCCCTGTGTTTTTTCTTTTTTATGAAATTAGTTGAGTTGAACAAGTTTGAAAGCCACTGATGTATCATACCCCTCTTTCTTCCCACTATTTCAGAAAGATCACAGCCTAATTTATTTTCTAAGGGCTTAACAGAGACCATTGAATATAAACAAAAATTTCATGTCCCATTATCCCTGATTTCAATGAATGTCTTTTCTCCCACTGAATTATTGACAATATAGAAAGCTTGCTAGTGTCTAATATGAAGGTTTGGTATAAATCTCTTTGTCATCACTTACATGACACAAGTTCACATTTTGATGATATTGAGGGAAGATAGGCTTTGAGGTTGACACCTCTGTGAACATGGGCAAGTTGTCTAACATCTCAAAGCCTCAGCTTCCTCATGGGAATGCAGATGGGGCTGCTAATACCCAGTTGGTGTGGTTTTTATAAGGCCTAAGAATATGTAATATACCCAATATGTTGTAAGCCTACACAAGCATAAAGCATTATTAACTTTCTCTCCCTATTTCAAATCAGATGACTGCTACCAGCCAACCCCAAATGTCATCATTGGAATAATTTCAGTAATCACAACATTCCAGTAGTGTAACTGAGTTTTCCTCTTTGGCCTTTTAGTTATACTAATTGACTACTATAAGACTTCACTTCAGCTATTTTGCATCCCCAAGAAGATGAGCCATAGACTCACTGGCATGTGACTTCGATTTTGAAATGGTGATATAAGCCACCCGGTGCCCCAGTGGGCCATAGACCAAAGTGAGCCTCATTTCTGGATGGTTCTTTCTGAATCTGGACCACGATCCAACCTATGAAAAAGAAATCTCTAGCCATGAAGACATGCCCTGAATCTCCCAGAAAGGTATCTGTGTCCATCCATCAGCAACTACTTATGGATGGAGTGCCTACTTTGTGCCTAGCACATCTCAAACATATTTATGAAGCATTATTAATAAGGAATTTAACTTCTACTCAGGGAAAAAGATGAAAGAAAACAAAACCTTGGCTTTGCATTGAAATCACCAAGGGAACCCAGGCCATAGGCTAGAACTACGAAGTTGAAATGTCTGAGAGAAATCTCAAGCACCAGTATTCTCTATGCAGATGTCCACTGAAAACAGAATTCGAATAGTGTATACACAAACACAAATTTTGCTTTTTCTTCCACCTAATGTGATAGTCTTCCTACACTCTTAAATAATCGACAACGCAAATATTAAAGATGGCCTGACATTCCATTTCATTGTTCGACCACATCTATTTCATCAGTCCCTTCTGATTTCATAATTAGATTCTTTCCCAGCTTTCATACATTTAAAAATATTAAAATATACATTCCAATGCATAAATATTTGTATATGTGTCTGGTAAGGTTCATGACAAATAGAATTACTAGGTCTGAGTATAAATACTTCTAAGGTATTCTATTCTCATTACCACAGTGACCTCAGAAAGAGTTATAGTCTTTTTTAGA